GAATTATTCTATTATTCGTTACGTCACCTATCTGTATATGTAATCCCTATTTAAACTTTTTTTTTTACTTTCAGTGTTGAATAATTCAGAGGAAAATACTACGGACTGTGAATGAGTTCTTTACTATGACAAAGAAAGAATTAAATCATGTTGATACCTGAAATCAAAAACTGCATCAGAGAATCTCCTTAGTATTTTAAAAGTATTTCACAGAATTTTTAGTAACCACGGCAACACCGTTCATTGAATTCGAAAAACCGATAAACAGAATCATGTATCATGGCATGATGATGGTTAAATGTATTCATATAGAATAATAACACATTATCTGTTTATCAAATGATAGAATCCAAATGAAAGTTTATAGATAGGTGACCGATGAATGAACCCTGACATTTCAGTGTTAAATCCAATCATAATCATTATGCATAAGAAACTTTAAATTCCAAACTTATTATTTAAACGATTTCGCGATCATTGTCTTGTCTTTAAATGTATTACACGTAATACTGTATTACAATAAACTAATTCTATGTTTTTGTCCTTACTGTTTTCAAAATACAGAGAATATACACTTAAATGCACTTGATTGAAAACTATGCGAAGCCAATTTTATATTATTCTTTAGCTTTTACTGCCTGTCTGCTTAGTTCTTGTTTTGAAAGAATAACTTTTTATTTCAGTGTTAGTTACAACGGAAAATACTACAGAATATGAAATGGTTCTTTATTTTGATCATCGGCACCAGTTTCCATAACTTTCGATTAGGTCAAAATCTGCATTGGAATGCCTTCCTATTCGTTTTTACGAGGATGTTGGGTTTGAACAGACCGAATTTGCTGGAACAAACTGTTAAATTGGTATAAAAAGGTAATCCAACGAAACAACGACGACGTATACGTCTGTTATCCAGAACTGTGAAGAAGAGTATCGAAACTTTGGAGACCTTCGACGTTGGACTGAATAAATCTGGAGAGATTTTAAGTTTTGACGCGTACAGCCTCGTTTTTAACACTTATACTGAACTAAGGGAATATTTTAAATACGATAGAATATATAGTCAAGGTCATATCACTATCAACAGAGACAAAATGGCCGCTGACAATGTAACACTACTTCATCTTAATTACGTATTTCAGCTTATAGGACCTTGTACGGAGGAATGCATAGCATTTTTTCCGAAATGGATTATTTAGTGACAATCAGCCATCATTTACATGTACCTGCTGGCAATAGATTAAATGATGCACCTTTATTCTTGTTTTCTTTCTTTTTGTTTGTTTGTTTTTTTTTTTCTGGTTCCTCTTCTTTTTTGGTCTTTCTTGTTCCTGAGCAATATGAACCTTATTAATTAAGTGCTTTCAAAATATATTTTTAGGTAATTGCTACGAGTGCGTTTTAAAGAAAGTGCGTTAATATTCCTTTAGTATCCCCTATATGTACTACATGTAATACCATATTACCCCTTTATTAATGAATTTCAAAACACCTGTATTGTTTATTTCAAGAAAATTTAGACATTTCTTTCTTTGAAAACAGATGCTAAGGAATGCAAGATATTCTGAATACACGATTAGTTTCAAGATAAATTTAAAAAAAAATCGTTTTTTGTATAAGATAGTGAAGATAGTTTATAATCATTATTTCTTAAAACTCCTATTTGTTTGAGAAGTAAGAATGATTAAATGATTGAAGGTCTTTTAACTTCCCGACGTGAGGAAGTGGAGAAATTTGCAAATTTAGGCAACGTCAACTATTGCACCTGTATATAGTTTGGCGAATTCATAAATGAGCATAATCACTGAGTATAAAGTCGTTTGACTTTTGTGATTACTGATATGAAAAAGTAGAACTGTGAAGAGCTGTTTTTATACTACCAAAGCGGGGGAGTATCGTTAATCTGTTAATTCCTAGGAAAAGAATGATCGAAAAAAAATGACACATGAATGAGGACGGATTTCTCTCCATGTTAAACAGTCGGCAACATACTCTTTCAGATATTACAGCATGGACAGGTTTCAATATTTATTTATATGTTCGGTCTGAAATTCATGGGATAAAATGAATCCAAAGTTTCCGTGACCAATGGAAAAAGTTGTTTGGATTTGAGTAGCATCTCTTTAAATTTACAAACCTAGATAGGTTAATGGGGAATTCCGTTGGGATAAAGCAAAAAATTATTAGCATAACACATTAGTGTTTTTGAGTTTAAGAACTGTAACTTACTGTTAGAAAGTTTTGGTAATGGTACGACACTATTTGTTGTTTCCTCGGCAGGCTTACATGTATAGCTATATTGAATTTCAGCACCGTTGTTGTGATACATTTCTACACACTGTTTAAATGCTTAAATTTTTTAGTAAAGTGGAAGAAAGTATCATTTTAGTGTTATTTTAAAGTCATTGTTGAATGAATAGCAATGAAAATAAGTTATTTTCTTTGAACTATATATCAAAGAAAAAGTGGAACTGAAAACGTTTTCATCAATGCTTTACGCAACCATTTTTCGTCAAAAGTGATCAACATATTGACGTAATTTTCCCATTTTGACGTCGCCATAAAAAAAAAAAGTGCATGGGTATTTGTGTGCAATGTTTAATTCCGATCTGAATTGTGTTTTTGTACATATAGAGGTAGTTTGCAAACATTTTGATCATCCCTTGTACATCTAAACTAAATAAATATGTAAATAAAAAATGTTTAGATGATATGCTAATAAAATGATCTCTAGAATAGAAATCTTTGTAGGTAATATCTATTGAGAATAAAAATTATAATTAAATGTAACTTAAGTGTACCTTAAAATGCCAATATACCTGTGATAAAATCGTCAATGAAAAAGAAATCAATGAACGTACTAACGCAGTCTCCGAAATAGGGAGAAAATTAATCTTTTTAAAACCGACATCGTTTCATTAAGAAGGAATAAATCAATAATATGATAAAAAAAATCTAAAAAAAGAATAAATAAATAAATCATATGCAGATTATTTGTATGTCATAGCTTCATTAGATACCTATTCTTGTACATCCTGGTGAAATTAAACAAAATACTTATCGACTACATGAAAACAAAAATATTTCTTCTACAGGAGGGTTTTCACTAAGGTGATTTTGTTTTTAAATAAAATCAATCAGTAACAAACCTCTTTCCAAAAATTATATGTAAGATATTTTTTTCCCTCTCGTCTTGGACGAAACCGACCATGGATATAAAAAAGACAATTAGAACCTCTACTACAAAAACAAGGTTGTCAAACTGGAAGATGATCTATTCAAAACGTAAAAGTAGTAATACCATTTTTTCATACTATTCATTTATATTTAAATAATCAACCTATATCATATCATAAAAACCTGATATGTCAAGCAATTTAAGGTAGAAACCAGTTTTTAAAAAAGACACACATTAGATAAACACATAAGTGTACATGACTTTGTTAGTAAATTGAATCAATAAATATATAGCAACACAGGTTTTAGCAAAAAAACAAAACAAAACCAAACCAAAAAACAATGTTAATTTATTTATACAAAACCTATTTACTTTTTAATCTTAAATTATACGAGGGGTGATCAAAAAGTTTGCAAACTAATTGAATAACTTCCATACAAGAAACAATATTTGGTTTAAATGTTGATTATTTTAAAAATTTTTAATGCATATAACCACCGTTCTGCGCATGCGCGAATCACGTGATATTAACGGACGAACCCCCTTAATTCTGTCACAAAAGTTAAAAGATTTTTCCGAGTTTTATATTTCTTTCCATGTGAGTTAATTTTCATGACAAGAACAGTTAATTTGTCAGAAATGGTCAAATGAACAGAATGGATAAATATCCTTTCCAAAAATAAGCATGGCGATCATTAAAACACAAATGTTCTGTCTCAAGAGACCTTTATTCAAGGTTGATAACAAATGGGTGCATCCTTTTTATCATATCAATATGTTTAAAATCTAAAAAACGATATCTTAGGTATTTAATACCTATATCATTGTTCAAATATTCAACTAGTTTTCAAAGTGCTAATTGGAGGTCTTTGATAGCAAATTGCTTAATTAAAATATATATCTTTTCAAACTTGCTTTCACTGGACAAGATGAAAAGTATCATTTTTAACCATCACCCTTCCTTCACTTAAACGATTAATCCAATCATTAATTGGATTTATAGGAACTCATTTATCTCAATAAACTGAGTACAAATTATTATATGATACTGTAGATGGATTTCTAAGATATTACAATAAATATATAGTCGTTTGGTGACACACAGGCTTTATTTCTCACAAGTGACAAAACGTCATGAACATGGAGAGAAACTTTATTTTATATGCTATTTATAGACCTTGTGCATGGCTATGTGTGTACCGAATTTCATTCTAATCTGAATTGTGGTTTTGTAGATATAGAGATACTTTGCGAACTTTTTGATCACCCCTCGTAGATGACATTTATCTTTAAAAACTATATGGATAATCATGATTTTTTTTTCTTTTTCAAGATTCAAATAAAGTAAGTTTGTCTTATACGTAAACATTAAATAATTAGTTAAATTTAAACATGTTTAAATCTTCTGAATCTTTACCAATTCCCCGAGATATGAATCTTTGACAAAGTAAAAGACATGTTAAACTATGTACTACATTAAAATTGATTAAAAAAAGGGAAAGGTATATTTTAAATATGTTGCACAAAAAATAAAATTGTTGATGATTGCAAAATCTTCAATAGTACCTTAGAGATAAACAGTAAGAACATTTTATTAAATAATAATAATAAAAAAAAAACTGTTGAACCTCTTTTGCATGTGTTTATAATAATAAATGCACTGTAACTCAAATAACAAAAAAAATCTCCATGACGAGTTACCGAAATTTGTATCTTTGACATTTTCAGTGGTAATTTCCTCATTAGAATAAATGTATATAAATTCCATAGATACCGATATGCAATGAAATAGAATATATTTGTGGATTTATTCGAACTGAACGTGTAAGTTTCAGAATGTCCATAAGAATGTTAAGCATCAGTTTTCTTGTCTTTTGGGTATTGATTGAATGTTGCCATTGCGTAAGTTTGTTTTTTAATTCATCATCGCTTAATATATTGTTTATTTTATTTTAACAGTATGCAATATATTTTCCACAAAGAAATATTCTCCCAATAGTTTTAAGTGAAAATAGCTAAAAGATTGCGCATTCAGAAATATCCAGCTGACCGTTTTGACATGTTTACTGAATGGACATTTGACCTTAGAAGAAATTTGATGGAATTTTAAAGCTTTGTTTAAATCAGAAAAAAACAATATTTTTTAATAACACATAATATATATAATAACATGTTCATAATTCAAATTGCAAAATTTAACTGAATTTGTTCCCAATATATCACTGCTTTAGGAAACTTGGATTTTTAAAGTTGGCTATAAAATTGAAATTCTCTTCTTCTATGGCATTTTTGGGAAGGAAAATGTTGCTTATTTTACTTTTTTTTTTCTAAATGACAGACTTCCAAATCAGTCCGAGTTCTTGAAAAACCAAATATAAGGCCTCTTTATTTCAATGCATCGTTATCAACAGAGGAGAACAAAGTCACTGTGAATGGGAGATATCAGTGCCCTGAAGACACAAAGCTATCCTTTTTTGAACGTTATGATGGGAGACTTATCAAATTTAAAAAAGGTAATTAAAATGATTTTTTTATCCGTCTTCGAAAAGAAAAGCAACATAAACACGTATTACACATGTACAATGCACAGATGAATATAGTTCTAAAAAAAAAGTTTTTCTCTTTTTTTTTAAAATCTGGTTTAATTGAAAAAGTTTGTGCAATTTTTTATGAATTCGGTGAGTTTTAGCCATGAAAATGATAGAAAATCATTAAAATTATATGGTAGAATGAAAATAGACGTAATTAAGGTTATTGCATAAATGAATAAGTTTATAGTTTACGCTAAAAGTATGTCGCTTGAAGAGGATATAAAATGTTGCTGAAAATAATAATCTCTTTCAACAAACTATAACAGACCGTTTATGAAAACAGGACTCTGTTTACATGTTAGTTAATCGTTCTGTGCAACAAAACAAATCAAAGGACTGCAACAGTAAAAAGAAAGAAAACTAAAGATACAGCAAGCGCGCACCGAGTTAACAAAATAATACTTCTCGCGAAAGTATAAAATATTAAAAATGGTTTGTTTCGAAGGCTTGCGTTATTTTGAAAGCATAGGGTAAATCATCATATTTCTGATACATGTAAGTAAATTTCAGCATAATACTTTTTTGTTTTGATTTTGAAACCCTTTTATTTTCAGTGTTGAATACAAAGGAAAATACTACAGAATGTGAAATAGCTTTAAAATATGACGCAGGAAGGTATAAACCATTTTTTTGGCTCAGATCAAAAACTGCATCAGAAAGGCTCTTCACTTTTGTGAGCAATAAGGTAAATAAGAATTTTCAGACTGAGTTTTCCGGGACAGACTGTTCAGTCGGTGTAAACAGGTCCACCCATAACAAGACAATCAAGTACATTTCCCAATTTCGGAATTGTGACCAGAGTCCTCGCATTCGTGAGACTTTTTCTATTTGGCTCAATAAATCTGGAAAGATTGAAAGCTATAATTCAGACGTATACTGCACCTATTTAAATAAAGAGTACATGAAATATTTCAAATCTAGATGTTCATCGGATGTTTCCAGCGACCCCTTTTACATTGAGTTCTATGACGATAAGATGGCTGCTGACAATGTTAAATTATTCGATCTCAGTTACAGTTTCCAACCGATGGAAACATGTTCTAAAGAATGCGATCCAGCCAACAAGCGATGGTGGTTCATGCCTGTGGTAAATTGTACTAAAGCATGCGTTGTGGCTAACAAGCGATGGTATTTCTCACTAATTTAGTTTTGTCAAACATTTTTATCTCAAATAAAGTGCAAACTTCTCACTTAAGTCCTTATGTCATGTTCTTTCTTTTGTTATTAACAAAGCATTACATTTGTTAATATCATAAGGAAAAAAAACAATATCTTTAATAAGATAGTGATGTCTTAACGAATTTCACCTCAACATTCATTGAAACAAAACAATTTGAAAGCAGAGCACACACAGACGTTGATATTGACAAAAAAAAATGTTTGATGCCATGGAGAAGTAAACAAAAACCAATTTATAGATTTTTACAGATATTTTTTATTAAAGGTTATAATTTTTATACATGCAAATGGGGCAAAGTCTAAAAGCAAGTTAATTGAAAACAATTTAGCAAAAGGACAAATCTTGATTTGACTAGCTTCATTTTAACATATATACTCAACAAAAAAAAAAAAAAAGAAAGAAAAAGAAATGCACTTTCAGATTAAACATATAATCTACGTTTTTAGTTTTAACCTTATTTTTTAAAAGTGATTTTAGAGTGTGTTATGATAAAAATCAATATGTCCAATGCTTCAAATTGAAAAAGTCAACACAAGTTGATGTCATTTTATCGCCCCACATTCTAGGGACAAAACAACATGTACTTCTCGACGTCTCTGTGCTAGTGGGTTTACGATGTACTGATGTCGTGGACGAATACCAGCTCCTCTCAGTCTTTTGCGAACATTTTTTGCACTTTTATGCTGATTTCTTCAAACAGCAATTGTAGCAGCAGTTTGTGCGGCAGTTCTCAATCGATTGCAGAAGAGGGATTGGGGGTTGACGGTCCTGTCTTGATGTGGTCACCCTTTAACGGCCAGTTTTTGTTGGGATGTACGTTTAACCGCTGCAAAGCCGAAAAAAAAAATGCAACCCCCTGTTTATTTATCATCATAGATACCCCGTGTGTGTTTAACATTGTTATCAAATCTTAAATCTGGGTTTCATATGAGTGTTTATTGCTTCTTATTTTCAGTACTTCCGAAACAGCACAAACTAGCTCCCAGTACTTTTTGGGTAAAAGAGATAAAAATCTTTTAAAATATATCATTTTTCTTTCTTCAAGAAAAAAAAAACAATCGTATGTCCTTGCACTATCTTCGTTTCCTATATTCAGCTTAACAATTCTACTTCTATACTAAAAAAACAGCTATTTGAATATAACTGTTAAACAGCCCAGTATCCATTATGACTAGGTATATTACATTTGATACATGTATTTAGTTACTTTGTTACAATATTTTTTTTTAAAGTAATACATCTTGAAACGGTACTACGTTCCCATTTTCAATTGTTATCCTTGAAAAACCTGAATGCTATTGATTAATGGTTTCAAATTAAGTATATTTTATCATTAACGTCCAGCGGAGTAATACATTTTTGACGTATTTCATATTGACGTAGGCAACTTATGTTAAACAATATAAACTAACTCTTGTATCAAATCAAATGAGGTGTTACAACAAAAATTAAATTATTTCGCTATGTAAAAGGTTCTACCAATCTATCGTTGGAAATGATGCTTGAAGAAATTAGAGGCCATACTGAAATGCTTGAACAGAAAGTGGCTGAAATGGAGTTGAAAAAATACGTGCTTTGCAGGAAGATTAATACCGTAAATCTGGAAATTTTTACGTCGATTTTATTTTGCGAATCTGGGTTAAAATGCTGTTGATTTATTTTTACGTTTCAAAATTTTGCGAATGACCACTACTTTGTTTACATTTTCTTATTCTTGATTTATTTTAAGCAAAATATTTTTGCGAATGTAATGAACTCGCAAAATTGCTAAAAATTTATCTACAGCAAAAATTTCCAGATTTACGGTAAAGTCTCCATGGCAAATAGGTCGCTGAAGTGGAAATTTCTTGATCTATATAAATCGAATTCCCAGCAAAGAAATTTATTTAGTAATATAAGTCATACAATTGCTAAAAATTCATAAGTCCTTGGAAAATTCTGAATTTAAAAAAAAAACGTACTAAAATGGTATCAAACCTATCAAAACCTGGGAAACAAGGTTTCCGAAAATCTGTGAAGATTCAAAAAACTCTAAAAACTCATCCATTAAGTACCAACATTTTAACCAACTAAAAAAAAAATTCTCGGCAATCACGGAATGCAAAGAAGGGAACAAAACCATCTAATTACAGGTAATGATTTACATAATCATATTTACTACAAGTCCATAGACCCAGTTGTTCTTCAGAATAAAGATTTTTAAAGATTTTTTCCCCCTATGTATGCCTTTACTATACTTTGTTACCCGTTGTGACTATATCTAAAAACTCATCCATTAAGTACCAACATTTTAAGCAACCAAAAAAAAAATTCCCGGCAATCACGGAGAGGAACAATCACGGAATGCAAAGAAGGGCACAAAACCATCTAATTACAGGTAGAAATTTACATAATCAATTTAATAGAAGTGCATAGACCCAGTTGTTCTTCAGAATAAAGATTTATAAAGATTTTGTTCCCTATGTATGCCTTTATTATACTTTGTTACGCCGTTGTGACTATATCCTACCCTGCAATGGCCTTGATTGTAAGAAACTTGGGTTTTCACTTCCAGACATTGTTTCTACTTGACCTTCATTTTTCTTGGCCCAGTGGATCTTGAGAAGATTTTGAAAAATCCTCTGTATTGGTATGTTAAATTTTGATAACCCATTGTTGCCCCACCGTACCCCGGAATGATTAGAACATAAGTAGAACAGATATGAATCTAACTACTGGTGGATGTATTTACAATGGTTCCATATTTCTTTTAAAATCGAATTCATGTATTTCTATTTTAGACGTTGTTACCTAATTGGGGTCTCATCCTATATTCCAGGGTCATAATTAGAACGAAGTCGTATCTTGATTAAGAAAGGAGGCTTTTACGTGAGTTTCATTTTACCTGGCCCTGTGATTCTTGAGGAGAAGATTTTTAAAGTTTTTTTTTTCCCTATGCATTCCTAATTTAATCTTTGATACCTGATTGTGGCCCCATCCTACTCCCGGGGTTATGATATGAACAGACCTGAATCATCATTTCCAGGATTTTAATAGTGATACATTTGACCTTTTCTCGATTTAAATGTTAATGACCTTAATTATCCCAGTTTATTTACATATTTAATAAACCTTCGCTTTATCTTATTTATTGTTTTTATTATATCCTTGACATTTATTAATTTTAAGCTTATTTCATCAATAACAAGCCACCCTTTATCGTCGGTGCCAAAAGAATGAGTCTTTGTCATTTTCCATTTTAACTTCTCTCATTAAGATAATATAGGTAGAAATAATGTCAAATATTCTAACTTTAAAATCTGCTCTCCTTTCTACACAATTTTGCATAATTATACAGTCAGGGAAACGCTCAGCATGAATTTTAAAATGTTTCTAGGTCGGATGGCATTTGTACTTTTTAAATGGATTACGCTAGACAATTGTCATGGTGTAAGTTAATCTTTTTTTTTTACTTCTATCAAGCAATTGTTTATATGAGGCATGCATCATTTACTCTTTTAGAGATAACATTTATTAACAAGTTTGATTTGATTTAAACGTATTTTATTGTTTTGATATTACAACAAAAGGAATGGACACACATTCTTAAAACTTAGAACTTCCTCTCCTTTATAATAACTAATTACACAAAGCATTGTTCAAAAATCAATTTACACAGGAACCAAAGGTCAATAAGATTGTCCAACGTAGGCAATGCATGTATACGTACAAAATTAAAATTGATATAGTAAATGTATGTAGAAATGAATCTAAATACATTCAAAAACGCCCAGGTCTCTTGATTAAAAAAATCGCATATTCAACAATAAACTTTCATTTTCAGAAATACTGATAGAATTATCTCCCCATAACAGAACATGAGTGTCTACAATACGTAAAACAAGTTTAGTAATGATGAGAAAAAAGGAAAAAAAATCTAAATGATCTTTTATTAAACAGTAAGTGTCCTATATATAGCCCGAGCTCTTTTATATTTTCATGAGAACATTACTCATTTTAAACATACATGTACATGTATTAGTTTTTATCATTCCCTTTCATAGGTCCATAGATAAACGTAAATGACCATGAGGCTTCAAAATATTAATAAGGTCAAATATATAAACATTTTACCCCGCCCCCCTAAATCCCCTTGTATAAATACAATGAGTTCATAAATACTTCCTAAAAAAGTATAACTAATTTTAATATAGTAACTCATAGTAAATCCTCTACTGTTTTGATTTTCTTTGAAACTTTATTCTTGAAATTTTTTTGACATTTTTTCTTTTCTATTCACAGTAAAGTAAATTTGGAAATTAAATGTTTATAGACAAATTTTAGCTACAGTTAATACATAAAATGTTTACGTTTGAAGTGAAGAACAAGAATGTAACAATCTTTAACGCATAGTAAAAAATTATGAATTACTATAATCATTTAAAAAAAAATAATTAAACTTTTGCAAATTTTGTCACTGTTATTCAAACTATATAATTATGTAAAATTATGTATGTCTATAAAGGAAAATAATCAAATGAGACCTATGTTTGCACATTTCGTGGTTCGACACTACCTTTCGATTTACATCTGCTCGATTGTTCATTTTGTAGATTTATCGATTTGTTTATTCGTCAAAAGAAATGTTTGCTGCAAAATAAAACAAAAAACGCATCTCGGCCAACAAATCAAATTTTGCTTGCAAAACAACACTCATCTGAACTTACCCAAGTGATTCTACAGTATATTTGAAATAATTACAGGCATCAACACCAGTGAGAGCTCTTGAAAAGCCCAGTATGATTCCTCTTTATCTGAATTCATCTGTGTCCACGGATGACAGGAGAGCTACAGTGTACGGAAAATTTGAGTGTCCCCTCGACACCACATTAGAATCTGATGAAGGGACGGTAGTCAAATTTGATAAAGGTTATATGAATATATTTTTCTTACGTCATTTATCAACCAAAAATGTTAATTTTAAGTGAATATTTTTGATTGATCGCATGCTGTTAAACTCTCCATACAAGAATTTT